TGCTCTGATCTTTACTACTTCCTTCTACTTGCTCTGGGCTTTTCTTTTTGTTTGCTCTCTATTTCTTTATGTTGTGAGGTTAGATAGTCTATTAGAGATTTTTCTTGTTTTTTGAGGTAGGCTTGTAGTGCTATGAACTTCCCTCTCAGAACTGCTTTTGCTGCATCCCATAGATTTTGTGTCTTCATTTTCATTGGTTTCCAGGAAGTTTTTGATTTCTTCCCTGATCTCGTCAGTGACCCATTCATTGTTTAATAACATGCTATTTAGCTTCCATGTGTTCAAATGTCTTTGTATGTTCTTCTTGCAATTGATTTCCAGTTTCATGCCATTGTGATCTGAGAAGATGCTTGATATGATTTCAATCTTCTTGAATTTGTAGAGACTTAGTCTGTGCCCTAACATGTGGTCTATCTTTGAGAATGTCCCATGTGCACTTGAGAAGAATGTGAATTCTGTAGTTTTGGGGTGTAGTTCTCTGTAGATATCTATCAAATCCATTTGGTCTAGTGCTTCATTTAGAGTCTCTGTTTCCTTGCTAATTTTTTGTCTAGAGGATCTATCCAGTGATGTCAGCAGGGTGTTGAAGTCCCCTGCTATGATTGTATTGCTATCAATTTCTCCTTTGAAGTCCTCCAGAAGTTTTAAAATATATTTTGGTCCTCCTATATTGGGTGCATATATGTTTATCAAGGTTATATCTTCCTGTTGGATAGATCCTTTCAATATTATGTAGTGGCCTGCTTTGTCTCTAGTTATGGCCTTCATTCTGAAATCTATTTTATCAGATATGAGTATTGCTACCCCATCCTTTTTTTCTTTTTCGTTTGCTTGGAAGATTTTTTTCATCCCTTCACTTCCAATCTATGTGAGCCTTTTGCTGTGAGGTGGGTCTCTTGTAAACAACATATAGATGAGTCATGCTTTCTTATCCAATCAGCTACTCTGTGTCTTTTTATGGGAGCATTCAGTCCATTTACATTTAAGGTGATTATTGATATGTACTTATTTATTGCCATTTTTGTTTATTGTGGTTCTATTTTTCTTCCCATTTCTCCTGCTAATTACAGCAGTCCTTTTAACATTTCTTGCAGTGCTGGTTTGGTGCGAATGTATTCCCTTAGCTTTTTTTGTCTGGTAAGCTCTTTATTTGACCTTCTATTTTGAATGATAGCCTTGCGGGTAGAGTAGTCTTGGATTCAGATTCTTGTTTTTCATGACCTTGATTACTTCATGCCATTCCCTTCTGGCCTGTAGTGTTTCTTGTGAGAAGTCAGCTGAGAGCCTTATGGGGTTTCCTTTGTATGTAACCTGTTGCTTATCTCTTGCTGCTTTTAGGATTCTATCTTTGTCTTTAATTTTTGGCAGTTTGATTACTACGTGTCTTGGTGTGGGCCTGTTTGGGTTCTTTTTACTTGGTGCTCTCTGTGCTTCTTGAACTTGAATGCCTTCTTCCTTCACCAAATTACGGAAGTTTTCTGTCACTATTTCTTTGAATATATTCTCTAACCCTTACTTATTTTCTTCTTTTTCAGGGACTTCTATGATGCGAATATTATTACGTTTCCCATTGTCCCACAGTTCTCTTAAGCTGTCTTTCTGTTTTTTAATCGTTTTTTCCTTTTTGTTTTCTGATTGGTTGATTTTTTCTACCCTGTCTTCTAATTCACTGATTTGGTCCTCAGCTTCCCCTACTCTGCTTTTTAGACATTCCAATGTGTTTTTCATTTCTGATATGTCATTCTTCATTTCTTCCTGTTGGTTTTTAATTCCCAACTGGTTGATTTTTAATATTTGTATGTCTTTCCTCATGGCGCTCATATCATTATATGTGCTGTTGAGCTTCCTCAACATCATGGCTCTAAATTCTAGTTCTGTTAAATTGCTTAACTGCACCTCATTTATCTCATCTTCCTTAGAGGTCTCTTGTTCTTTCATTTGGCTTTTGTTTCTGTGTTTCACCATTTTGGCTTTCACAGTGGGCTTTGGAGCCTGCCAAATTTTTCCTGTGGGTGTTGGTGTTCTGCTCTTTGTGGCTCCCTCTCCTGGGTTTGGATGAGCCAGGGAGGACCCACTTCAAACACCACCGTCAAGTCTTAGCCTTTCTGGTTAGTGTTGCTAGCCCAGGGAATGGTAGTTATCCTCTAGCTTTTTTTTTGCCTGGAGGCTATTAGTAGAGGTCACCTGAAGACCCTTGGTTTCTGAGTTGCCTGAAAAACTCCCTCAGGTGCTCAGTGTAAGAGGATTTCCCTAGGGTGGGGCAGCTGCTGGTTGTTAATGGGCCTCAATTAGCATTTCAATGGCCACCAGGTGGGGTTGAATCTCTGAGGGAGGGGCCTCCGCCTCGCCTCTCCCCAGGGCCCTGGGAAGGAGTAAAATTACCACAGTCCTGTGTGGCTGCACTCAGCGAAAGCTCTTAGCACCCTCCAAAACCCCAATGTCCCCACACAGTTCCAGTCCAGTCTGCCTTCCCTCTGTCGGAGCCCAAGGTGAGTGGCTGCTGCCAATTTAGCCTCTGTCTAGACTCTGCGTCATGGAGCCGCCTGAGACTTTTAACCCGAGGGCGCTGCTTCCAGCCAAGGGCGGCCGCGGCCACAGCCGAGGGCGTTGCACTCAGCAGAAACCTCAGGACTAAGCCGTGGTAGCGGGACACTGCCGAGGTGGCAGCAGCTTCCAGCAGAGTCCCCTGGTCCCCGCGAGTCTGTGCAGCACCAGCTGATGGCTTAGCAGGCAGCAGAGTTTGCAGGACTCAGGCGGGGTCACAGCCGAGGTGGCAGCAGCACCTTCCCGCCGAGTCCCCTGGTCCCTGCCCAGGCCACTGGGGACCATGGGCTCCCAGCCCCTCTCGCATCCTCGAAAGCCTACCAGGATTGAGTCGGTGTCCCTGGTTATGTGGTCCTCCAAGGTGTCTTTCGGTTGCCCCTTTCTGAAGATTTGCGTTTATTTTTGTTGTAAATCCAGTTTGGTCCTGGGAGATGGTCTGTGTAGCTCCATTCACTCTGCTGCCATTTTTTTCTATTTGATGTGTCTTTTTTAAGACTTTTAATTCACAGTTTCATGTGATCCCCACCCCATAATGTCCTTATGCATCTCTAATTAGAGCTATCTTTAACACTTCCTAGTTTATAGAATCTTTTATAACCATAATTACTGTTTTCAGTCATTTTTTTACTGCCCTTTAGGATGATTATTGATTTTTTTTTGTTAATACTCATCAGAGCATATTTTTTCTATTTTTTTTTTTTTTTTAGAGAGAGTGGAAGGGTGGGGGGAGAGAGAGAGAGAAACATTGATGTGAGAGAGACACATCGATCAGAGACACCTCCATCATGCACCTCAACTGGGGCCAGGGATCAAACCTGCAACTCAGGTACATGTCTTTGACCAGGAATCAAAGCTGAGACCGTTTGGTGCATGGGCCAACGCTCTAACTACCAAGCCACACTGGCCAGGGCAGGTGGTAATTGATTTTTATCATCAATCTTATAAGCAGATTATAAAACTCTTACTGCCGTTAATAATAGTACAGACATTCTTTTTCTGTGTAACTCTTACCACATTAATCTAGTTACCTAGAGTTCGTTTCTACCTGTGTCAAAGTCACATATGCACACAGTTAGAGAGTGAACTAGTTCCACAGGTCTACACATGAAAATGGAGTCTCCCTAACCTCACATGATTTTCCCCCTCTCAGTGGCAACCATTTTCATCTCTTTAACTAATTATATTAGCATTTGCTGCCATACCTAATATAGCATGCTTCTATTTCACTTCTGAATTTCTCACTCCTAGGTGCTATTTATGGGCTTCCCACCAGGACATTGGGGACATAGGCTCTCTTACCCCCGACCTCGTGCACACATGACCGCTCTCTATCCCCATCACCCTACTATCACTACGGTAGAATTCTGAATGACTGAATAGTCAGCGTCTGTGTTATAATGACCATGAGATGGGTGTTGACAGCTGAACCTTGTAACATTCCCAGCTTTGCTATGTTGATCCCTGTATGTTTCTGTACCCACCACCATGACCAGGATGCAGAACAATTCCATGACCACAGAGTCCCCCTGTGCTGGCCCTTTCTAGTGACCCCACCCACTGTACCAGACCTCTCAAATGCCCATGTGCTCTCCACTCTGCAGTTTCCAGAATGTGATATGAGCGGAATCATACAGCATGTGACCTTTGAGATGGAATTTGTTCACCCAACATAACGCCTTCGAGAAACTTACAAATGGTTGACGTGTAAATAATTCTTTGTTTTTATTGACGAGTGGTATTTCCTTGTGTGGATGCACCATTTGTTGAACTGTTCTTTTATAGTGGACATTTTCATTATTTCCAGTTTTGCTATCACAGAGAAAGCTGCTATGAACACCACGCACAAATTTCCTTGTGGACATAACATTGCGTGTCTCTGAGAAAAACGCCTGGGGGTGTAACTAATGGGTCTTAGAACCCACTTCTTCTCCCCCAAAGAAGTCAGGAACATATACCTTTGGTTGGATGGAGGCACCTACCAGTTCTGAGGTGCACCTTACACTTGGGCTTTTACCTGTTAGAGCAACAAAGGGTTAAGCAGACCTGGTTCCATCCTGACGTTGACCAGCTCTGTGAACACACTTCCTCCAGCTGAGCAGCTCTTGCTGAGGCTGGTGTGGATGAGGCCACCAGCCAGATACATGCCAGGATCCCGGGCTTGGGAGCTTGGCACACAGCTCACAACCACGACCCTTCTTGTCCTGGGCCCCCGAGTGAGGATCTCACGGGCTGAAGGGCCCAGTGGAGAGCGGAGGCCCCAGGCTGGGGGAGGCACTATTTCCTGTCGGCCTGTCCAAGTCTGTCGGAGAACTAAGATGTGTAACTGATAACACTCTGGTTGCTTCCCTGACTGATTCTATTTCACAACCTACAAGCAGGAACTGTTTAGAATGTTGAGGTGGGCACAGAGCCACAGCCCTGTCACTCCATGCTGGGCGCTTCCTCTTATATCCTGTGAGGTGGGGCTTCTCTCCCCGCACAGAGCAGATCCGGGCTGCCCAGCACACGTTTGGACAGAGCAGCTCCTTGGCCTCCAGGATGCCCGTTCCTGCCTCCTGGCCGCGCCCTCCTCCTTGCCTGCTGCTGACTCTGCTGCTGACTCTGCTGCGGGGCCTCTCAGGTGAGCACCTCTTGGGGTAGAATCCCCTCTCTCTGTCCCTGGACCTTTTCCTGCCCCTGAACCTCCCCATGTCCCTGGACTTCTGGCACCTCCAGATAAATGAGTGGGACACCAGACCTGCCTCAGAAGGTCAAGGACAGGGTGATCCCCGAGAGCATGAAATCAGGGATCCGAGCGTTTTCCCGGTGGCTCCATCGCCTGCACCTGGTTACCAGAGGTGTCAGAACAGATGATGCTTCAGATCATAACAGCCAACTTAGTGTGTATTAACTCTTCTAATCCTCACAACATCCCAGTGTGAGAACTACTACTATTATCCCCGATTTACAGATGCGGAAACTGAGGCAGAGAGTAACTTGTCCAGCGTCACCTATGTAAGGCCGTGGAGCAGCTGAGATTCAAGTCCAGGCCACCAGCTCCAGGCTCATTCTTTTTTTGTTTTTTGTTTTGTTTTTATGGTACATGACCCTAGTGGGAACTGAACCTGGGAGTCTCTGGTCCGCAGGCCGATGCTCAACTGCTGAGCCAAACTGGCCGGGACCAGAGCTCATTCTTTTAACCACGTGACGCTGCTCAGCTTCTCAGTGGAACTAACTGCAGAGAAGTCAGAACACAGAGAGGGAGACAGAAGGAAGTTTTCGCTCCTCAGTCCACTCAGACACATCAGAGTTCAAATATTGTATGTTGCAAATGTTTGTGAATGATGTGTGCATGGTTCTGATGTGCCAAGTATGTTACCAAACATGTAACATGTTTTATAATTTCATTTAATCCTCAAAATAACCTGTATTCTATAATGCTGGGACACACTTTTATACATATTTGTCATGCATGGATCTCTGCTTGTGTGCACTTTCACACACACATACACACACACCCATTTTAGAAACGGTTTTTCTTATTGTTCTCTTCAAATCATTTTCAGTCTACCCAAATTAACAGGAATGGATGTTTAGTTTTCTCTCTCTCAGATACGCTCCCTTTTTTCTGCTTCTCCAAAGCTACTGCTTACCCTGCCACAAACTCTTACAATAAGCAAAGTTGTCTTAGTAAAATGAGTAGAAGTTTCTGCATTACTGTCTTAAGGTCCACTTCCACGTTACATAGGACTGAGGAAGAAAGAAAAAGACCCAAGTTAAAGCAATTCCTGCCTCTATGTGCTATGTCATAATCATATCCATGTCTCTACCTCTGTATCTATCTCTACATCTATATCATATCCTCTAACGGCAATTGAGTCCTCATGACCTCAAACAAATGGAATGAATAATGTTTTCAATTTCCTGAACACTCACCATGTACCAGACAGGGTTGGAAATGTCCACAGCTGTCATGTATGGGATTATTATAGCGAAGAAAATAACTTATACATATAAAAACAAGACACAGAGAGGCTCACTGTCACTCAATGCTAAATAGTGGAGCTATCATTTAAATGCAAGTCTGGCCCTGGCCCGTTTGGCTCAGCAGTTAGAACATTGGCCCGTGGACCAGAATCCCAGATCAGTCCACTCCTGCTAAGGGCACGTAGCTCAGTTGCAGTTTGTCCATGGCCCCTGTTGGTGTTGTGTGGGTTGACAGCCAGTCAATGTGGCTCTCTCACATCGATGTTTCTCTGTCTGTCTTCCTTTCTCTCTCCCTCCCACTCTATCTGAAGATAAATGTAAAAGTGTCCTCAGGTGAGGATTAAAAAAAATAAAAAATAATGCAAGTCTGATTCTAAAGCTTACAGTTGTAACGTAACCCACTTGCACCCCATGAGATGAGAAGTTTCTGCCGCTGGGTGGGGAGGGCATGTGTGGGAAGAAGGTTTGGGGTTTTCTGCTCCTGGGCTCTTCTCCTTCCTGCATATATGCAAGTTTTGCTTTTTAAAATTTCCCCAAGTCATCACATGAGAAATTCAATTTCTGACATAACTTTCACAATTTACCCACCTAAATAGTCTTCAAGTTCTCAGTGAGGGTGGCACTGGACCATTCCCACAACAGACAAGTATAGACCAGGAACGGTTATAGCAACTCGAGTGAATACCACTAAGTGAATAAAAGAGAAGAAGTCGTTCCCCTCATGGAGCTCACGCCCTCGAGGGGAAATAACAGGAAACAATAGCCATAACCAATAAATAATACAGCTCATTGGAAAGTGACAAGTGTTAAAGGGAAAATGAAAGCGCAGCTGAGTAAGAGAACTGGGGGACTCTGTGAGGTGAGATGTGCTTACACAGGGTGTCTGGGTGGGCACCCCGAGGACAGGAGGTCTGAGCCAACATTAACAGGAGGTTGGGAGTGAGCCGTGCAGTCATCTGGGGGAAGAGCCTCCTGACCAGAAACAGCACATGCAAAGGCTCTGAGAGTTGAAACTTTCTGTTCAAAGACTTGGGTCTTTGGAATGAGTAAAGTGGTTGCTATTTTAAGGTTTGAAAAGAGATATGACATGATCTGACATGAGATTTAAATTAGTCTAGCATGTGGTTGACAATAACTACAAAGGGGCTTGAATAGAAGCAACTAGAGCATTTCAGAGGTCTTTGTTTTCATGCAAAGAAGAAACAGTCACTAAACAACAGACTTCCCACTAATCATCAGAAAAAATGCAAATGAAAACCACAGTGAGATATGACCTCACACCTGACAGGATGGCTAACATCAATAAATCAACGAAGGACATGTGTCCCTCCAAGATTCATTCCTGCTTTACACATTATGGTCTGAGCTGTTCCGCTCAGGCGAGGATGTAGAGAACCTCATGCACTGGTGGTGGGATTGCAAACTGCTGCAGCCACAATGGGAAACTGTATGGAGGTTCCTCAAAAAATAAAAGATCGGACTACCAGATGTGACCCAGCAATACACTTCTGGGTATTTACCCAAACAAATCCAAAACACTAATTCAAAAAGATATTTGCACTCCTATGTTTATTGCAGCATTACCCATACTAGCCAAGATATGGAAGCCACCTAACTGTCCATCGACAGATAAAGAAGATGTGGTACATGTATACAACAGAATATTACTCAGTCAGAAAAAGAAAATAAAATCTTACCCTTTGGGACAACATTTCATGCTAAGTGAAATAAGTCAGACAGAGAAAGACAAATGTCATATGATTTCACACTGCATTTGAAAATAAACAAAACAAAAAAGGAACAAACTCAGATACAGGGAACAACCTGGTTTGCCAGATGGAAGGGACTGGGTGAGAAAGAAGGGATTGAGGAGTACAAATTGCCGATTACAAAGTAGTCACAGAAATGTAAATGGCAGCACAGGGAATCAGGTCAATAATATTATAACTATGTATGGTGCCCAGTGCATACTAGACTTATGGGGGGATTGCTTTGTAGATGTCTAACCTCTATGCTGCCCACCTGCAACTAATATACTATTGAATATCAAATGTCAGTGAAAAAAAATTTTTTAAATTAAATATGAAAAGAAGTGACTCACACCAGGTCAGTAGCCAGGAGAGACGGGAAAGATGGGGAAACTGGGTGCACGCTGAAGGGGAGCCACAGGATTTCTGATGCACAGGATTCGGGGTGGGAGAGAAAGACGCCACGTGTTTGGAACCTGAGCATCTGGAGCGATCAAGGTGCCTCGGGGGAGACACAGAGGGCTGGTTGTCCGGGGGAGGCTCGGAGTTCAGATTGGACTTGTTTCCTGTGAGATGTTTATTTCCATCCAAGGAACATGTCGAGTGACAGTTGGACAGACAGACAGAGTTCAGGGGAGAGGCCTGGACAGAGATGAACGTGAGATGTATAGACGCACAGAAGGCAGAGCTTTGGTCATTCTCTGCTCCTCTCCAAGCTCTGACCCCTCCTCTCTCTTCCCTCCTCTTCTGCCTCCAAGATCCATTCCTGTTTTACACACTTTTGTCTCAGCTGTTCAGCTCCCCCCACCCTGTCTTCTTCTCCAGACTTAAAACTCAAACCACTGATGTTCTTGGCACCAAAGGACCTGCCCGGTGACAGCACGTGGCCTCCTTAGAGGCGTGTGTGGCTACAGACAGTGCTGAGTGGGGGGTTCCACCAGCTCACACTCTGCAAAGGCGACCCCCAACTTTTCCCTGACGAGGAGAAGCTAAGAAATGGACACAGGGCTCATCTGAGGCGCCACAGCCGCCTCCCCGCTGATTTAAATCTCGGCCACCGGAACCCAGGCCTGTTTTCAGGTCTTCAATTAAGAAGGACATGTTTTGTTTTTTTTCAGTGTGTCCAGAAATTGGCTAGTCACTGAGGCAGTAAAATCAAAATGGGAAATTTTGCACCTGCAGTTAAATGATTGACCCCAAGGAAGGAAACTCGCGTCCCTTCAACTCACCACTCATTGTCCAAAGTCATCCACGCCCCCCCATTCCTTCGAAACACAAACGTAAAACTCTGCCTTTCCTTTTCTTCTTCTTCTTCTTCAAACTTCTACACAGAGTGATATACTTGTTTAAACCCATATATTTTTGTGGTGAAATATACATAACATAAAATTTATCATTTTAACCATTTTTAATGATACAAATCGGTGACATTAAGTACACTTGCAAAGTTTGGAAACCATCACCACTCTAAATTCCTAGAATGTTTTCAACATATTAGCAGAAACTCTGGACCTATTAAAAAATAACTCCCCAGCCCTGGCTGGTATGGCTCAGTTGGTTGGAGCATCATCCTGTACACCGAGAGGTGGTGGGTTCAATTCAAGTTCAGGGCACATGCCCAGGTTGTGGGTTCAAACCGCAGTCAGGGCAGGTGCAGAAGGTAACCGACCAATGTCTCTCTCTCTCTCTTCCTCCCTTTCTCCTGTCTGTCTGTCTGTCTATCTATCTATCTATCTATCTATCTATCTATCTATCTATCTATCTCTCCCTCTCTCTCAAATCTATTTTTAAAAATTGAAAAAAATATAACATAACTCTCCATTTGTTTCCTCTCCCACCTCAGCCCTTGTAACTTTTATTCTACTTTTTATACCAATTAAGTTGCCTTTTCTAGGTTGTTCATATA